CCGGCACCCACACACCTGTTATACATTAGATCATTTCACTGGCGAGGCTGCAGTCTGAACACGCCAGATATATCTTCCTCCAGGATAATTTCCCTGTAATTATCTGTCACAATAGTCTGGTCCTAGCACACAAAGCTCTCTCTACTGTTGGATTCATTTTTTCCGCCCGCTTGGGCTAGGAATAAAAATGCTGTGCTCGAGCCCCCTTCACACGGCCTTAGCAGCTCATGCTAAGCGGGATCTGAGGCTCTTTTGCTGAATTTAGCCAAACTTTGAGTATAAGCAAGTGTACTTAGGAGGCCACACCAGGGATTTTGGAGGTGCTGGATATTACGGTGATGTGGGGGCAGTGAGCATACAGGTCAGTAGGCAGAAAGATCCAAGTCATGCTTCTGGTATTGATCTACAGAGCCCCTGATGCTTGCCTGAGGCTCCTTCTCCAGGGACCTTACAGAGCTGCCCCAATTGTCCTGAGTGAAGTCAGAGTCCAGCCACGGGGTTGATGGCAGGATGGGGAGCAGCAAAACAGCATGCACCCTATGGCACCATGCAAAGGAGGGGAGGAAGGGCCCACCCCTTGCCATAACCTTATCTATGCCTAAGGATCCAGACCTCATGAAAACTCATCAGCCTGCTGGGAAGTAACAGCCTGAGACCAATGGAGAACACGGCAAAGAAATCCCATTTTGCTCAGGTTAGGGGCTCTGGTTACACTTGGCATAGGGTGACAGCTGAGTGCCCCAGCGGGGCTTATTTTAGTCTGCAAACAGTGTTTACATGATGCACTACTTTGATAAATGTACTGCTGGGAGTTGGATAGGGGAAACCAAATCGCTCTAGGGCAGCCACCAGACCTTAGGGAGACACTCAAGCTAGTGAAATCCAAGTAGAGACGTGGGTGGCCAGGACTGCAGAATCACAGCATCATATGCGATGGACTTGGATGAGCTTCTCCCTTTCATCATTATTGCTCTTTTGCAGTCAGTGGAGTTGCTTTTGGTTTACCCCAGTACATGAGAATCGTACTCTTCATCACTGGCAATCCCTCAATTCAAGGGTGATCTCTACCACAGCACATTGATGGGTCTCGAGGTGACTTAAGAGTCTAATTCTTGAGCCACAGACGCATCCACAGAAGTTGCAGGTCTTTCCTCAGGGATGATAGGCTGTAGGTTGGGATCCCTCTCCTTTTCCTTCCTCTGCTGCCCCTTCTCTGCTTCGAGGGCATGACACTTGACCTCCAAACGGGCTGCCGCTTGGTTGAGGTTGCGGCACCACTGGAGTCAGTCAGTAGCCAGCTCCTCCCAACTCTTAACATTGGCAACTGTTTTCTTGAGATTTGCCTCCAGTATGTCCTTGTCGCATTTCCTCTAGCCACCGCAAAATCCCAGGCCGTAACTAAGCTGGGAGTCAAAAGCCAGGCATCCACACACCACATCCAGTCCAGCCAAGCTGGTGCTTGAGGCTCACCGACTCAATGCTGGTAACATTGGCCTCAGCCAGGATGCTGGCATTTGTGCAGCGATCTTCCCATTTGACGCGGAGGATTTTCCGGAGGCATTGTTGGTGATACCTCTCCAGGCTCCTGCGCTGATGACAGTAGGCCATCCACATTTCACATCTGTAGAGGGATGCTCTTAATATCCTAAATTCATGACACTGAAGGCACCAGCAGGTAACGTCTTCATTTTCCTAATAGGCATGGGCATGTCTCAAATGGCATCTCAAATTCAGCCCAACTGAGCCCCAGGCAATACCCCCGTCACCACTCAGCCCCCAAAGCTGCTGTCACTGCTCCCTCTTTATGATGCAGAAGTGTCACACCAGAACCCTTCTCCCTCTCTTCCTTCCCTGTCTCTTCTTCATCATCATTAGCTCCTATTGCATCATCCTTCTCCTCGCTGCGTGTTGAATCCAGCCCCTCTTTACGGGCCAACAAGTTGCTGTTCTCTTTAACAAAAGAAGAAATGAAAGGTAACAATTATCTCTTCCAATCAGTGTACAGGTAAATGGTCTTTCATAATAATAGTATTTAGTGCTCTTCATCTTCAAAATGCTTTACAGGCATTAACTAATTAATCCATACAGCAACTTGGGATGCAGAGAAGGGAGAATTGGAGCAACTTCTTGCTGATCTAGGACTTCCAGCCTGCCAGCAATATCCAATGTAGGGCCACAGAGACACCAGGGAGTGGAGAACCCAGGACTCTTCTGTCAATAAAGCAGCCCCTGCTCCTGGAGCTAACGGATAATTCCCATTAGCTATTGGGGTTTTTTAATACTGAATTTTCTACATGGGTTTCAGAGATGTCCATTTTTTGTAATGAAATCAAACAAACAGGACTCCATTTGTCTGACAGCTGAATATGCAAGCATTTCCTTCCGTGCAGACCAACCCCTCTCTAGCTTATGGTTCTTTACCGCCACCCATCACCTTCTCCATAAGATCAGTAGCTGGAGCAAAACCCCTAGCGGGTTTCACGGAGCCTCTAGCACGTCTCCCAGGTCGAGACAAAACCTTGGCTCAGGACCAGGTTTGCGTTTTCAGTCATTGTTTATTCCCTCTTTGCATTTGTACATCATGAAATGAAGAGGCTGCTACAGCACTGACTGAGCTCCCTTTGACTGGACCATCATTGGTTTGCTCTCTGTGTTCAAACTCCAGGCTTAAGGCAAGCTAGGTCTAAAACGCGGAGACCAAAGTCCAGATGCTGCCTAAGATTGGTATCTTGAGGCAGATGCTTGGGCCATAGGTCCGCTGTCTAACGCCTTGCCTTGACAACTGGCACTTGCAGGCCAACTGCTGGACCCCCGGGCCTAGCACTAGCTCAACAAACTCACCTTTAGTTTGAACACATCTTCACCCACAGCTCCAGCCATTAGGTAGCATTTGACTTTTCAGGGCAGGCCATAGTGAGAGCAGATAGAGAGGGATTGCACAGGATCTAAAACATCATTGCTCTTTTGACACCAGTGTTGTCTTTGTGAGTCCTCCCGAGCTGAGGCTGACAGTACCATAGTGCAGGATGGGTGCATCAAGTGCAGCCAGGTTAATCCAAAGCCTAGTTTCACAGGAAGAAAAATGATCTATCAACAGCTGAATCTCTTCCCCAGAGCAGGCCACCAGCACAGGCCCTGACCGAAGTGGTGGACTTCTCTGTGGTCGGTGCGACAACCTTAGCCCCAGCATGTGATCTGGAGAAGTTACCCAAACCTTGAGCTCTTTGCCAGTGCAGCCCAATGCTGGCCGTAAGGTTGGGAGCCGTCTGTCTAGAACAAAACTGGACTGGCCCTGAAACATCCTTGTCAGACACCAGCTGTCCCTAGGAGGAGGTTGGCTAGGACACCATCAGTCTTTGCCATACGCGTAGTATCACAGACTTGTCTCAAGACCAGCAGAAACTTCCTTGGACAAGTCTTTCCTTAAGGCTCCAAAGCTCACTCTGTCACAGGCTTGGGTCAAATTGATTAAAACTACCTAAGAGGCCATGATTTTGCTCTCAGTCCTTCTCCTGGTTTTGCCAAGCAGTGAAAATCATGGCAACCCCTCTCCAGTTTGCCTAGAGCCAGCATTGCGATTCTGGTTGCTTTGTTTCTACAACATACAAGAGAAGATCTCTCCAGCCAGGGGAATCAGAGAGATCTGCTGTGATTATTACAAGGATATTTCTCCCCTTTGCCTTTACAAAGCTTGATGAAAATAGCATTTTTTAGTCCTGTGGGGCAACTCTGAATTCCAAATTCAAAAGAAAAGTTGGCGCAGTTGCTCATTCAGCAATTTGCAACCAACTTTGTGACTTTCTGCAAGGAAATTCAGACTCAACCATTCAGACCAGCTGCCTTTCATGGGTGCCACCATGGCATCAGTCTCACGGATGGCTGGCAGCCTGTCAAAGGCAACCATGGGCTTCTCATGTGGGATGCAATCCAACACATGTCCACTGACAGCTGCACCAACACTGAGCAGATACTGCGAGTGTTGGCCCAGCATTGCCTTATGCTTTCTCAATCTGTGATCAACACAGTTCTGTCTCTGTTCTTGACCGGAGACATCACACCCTATGTCAGTCCATAAACCACCTTGAACCGTACGTAGAACAAGTGCATATGGTGCTTGTCAAACCTATCCCTGCAATGCTCCTGCCTGGGCACTCCACCACTGACCTTTCCTCTAGCATAACCTGATTTAGACTTAATGGAAAACCTTGAAGCCAGCCATACAGGAGCCAGCCATACGTAAGCCAGCATGTCGGCAGCTTAATCCGGGTGAGCTGACATTGTTTATTGATTGATCTGCTTCTGTTTTGTTCCAGGTGTAAAATGCAGTCATCACCCCCACGGATGTGAAGCGTGGGTGACCTACCGTCGTCATCTCAAGAACCTGGAGAGGTACCACCGACGATGCCTCCAGAAAATCCTCCACATCAAATGGGAAGATTGGTGCACAAACACCAGCATCCAGGCTGAAGCCAATGAGTTGGTGATCCTCAAGCACCAACTTTGCTGGACATGCTATGTGGATGCCTGACTCTCTACCCCAAAACACATGCTCTATTCAGTTTAGTCACTGCCTGAGATCTCGTGGTGGCCAGAACACATGCTACAAGGACACCCTGAAGGCAAACCTCAAGAAAACAGATGCCGACATCAAGACCTGGGAGGAGTTGGCTGCCAACTGACTCCAATGATGCTGTAATGTCAACCAAGCAGCAGCCTGTTTTGAGGTAAAGTGTCTTGCCTTCAAAGCAGAGAAAGAAAAAGGAGAGCATTCCCCATTTACAGCCTACTCTCCCCCACATAGAGACCTCCAAATTCTGTGGACAGATCAGTGGTTGAAGGAAAGGAGTATTAAGTCACCTCAAGACACGTCAACAAACCATGGCAGAGATGATCCTCCATTCAAGGGACTGCAATGACACTTCTGTTGAAGCACAATCTCAATGGCTGCATCATTGTCATCATGTAGCAAATTTCCACACCTTCCCTTGGCATGAAAAGGGTGACTCTGGTGGGACTTGAACCCACAACCTTTAGCTATCTTCCTTTTGTCATTAATTTAGAAGTCTAAAGTGCTATCCGTTGCACCACAGAGCCCACTTCTGGTCTAATACTCTTATGCTTTCCTATTGCCCAGATCAATCTCAACATTTTTAGATTCAGGTCTCCTCTCTGCAATGGTTTTGAAAGTGGCAACTACGCACTTGGGACCCACTGTTGTGCTGCCTTATCTGTCCTCTGTGGTTCCCAAGCAGGGTCCTGCCACTGCTGCTGCTGGGTACAGTTGCCCCACATCCCCCATCACATCCTGCCCAGGAGAGCTGTGGCATGAGCATGTACTCCTGCCTGTTAGGGTTAACCTAAAGCAAGGTCTGCCGTGACTTTGTCGTGTGACCTGCAATGGGTGTCAAGATGCCTTTTGAAGACCGTCAGGGTGGAGGACTGTACCACCTCTAGAGATAAGTCTTGCCTGAATCATGCTGGGGTCTGTCCAAGGAATGGCACTACTCATGGCATCACACCAGTTGCCCTCACGTATGGTGAAGTACTTGGTATGGTAACATTGGCAAGATCTTATCTGCTTCCAAGAGGCCTCTTCCTCGTTCCCTTGTCAGAACGAGGTGTTAACGATCGCCAGTTGTCACCTGGCCTGCAACCAAAAATGAGTTTGTTCTCACTTGTATCCGCTCTGGCACTCAGTGCATTTAGAGTACCCAGCTCAAGAGAAGTCAGTTTTGAGTGCAGGACTAAAAGGGCATCCAGGTCACCGTAGATGATTTCTGTTTCTTCTGATGAGCTTATCTTAAGTGCTATGAAGTGCTTACAGGGGTGTAGGTTGTAGCTGTGTCGGTCTAAGGACATAGGCAGATAAGCTTCTTCGGGTAAATCTGATATCTTTTATTAGACCCACTCAAATTAAGTGAGTCTAATAAAAGATATCAGATTTACCCGAAGAAGCTTATCTGCCCATGAAGTGCTTGCAGCATCATGGGCTTAGAAGGGAACTCAAGGGACATCTAATCTGATGCCCAACATGGATACAGGATTTTCTAATCCTAAACCATCCTAGAAAGATGCCTATTTAGCCTCTTCTTAATCATGAAGGGCAGAAATTTCACACCTTCCCTAGGCAAAGTATGGTTCTGGTAGGACTCAAATCACAACCTTTAGTTGTCCTCCATGAGTGGCAGCCAACTCTTTATTTAAGCACAATCCATCTAGATGGATGTAATGGCTCCTCCGTTTTTAGCTCTGTGGCAAGGTTTCAGCATCCCTGAAGTGTCCCAGTTGACCAAGGTATGAGAGAAAGGATAGAAATCATATGATGCAAGGCACAGATATTAGTTATTTGCATTGAAGTGTTGCCCCAGTAGCAAGATTGTGTTGTGCTGGATGTTGCACAGACACGTAGAGAAGAACAGTCTTTCCCCGGGAGTGTTTACAGCCTAGATCGGCGAGAAAAAGAGCTTGAGAAGGAAGCTATGTGATCTGCCCAACATCACACAAGAGGTCAGTGGTAAAACCTTCTCCGGCAGAGCCGCCTCAGCCCTGCCACTCCAGGGAAAGCAAGGCCATCTTTAGAAAGAGCCAGGGAGCTTGATGGCTGGGAGCAAACCTCAGCTGCTATGATCAAACAGCTGAACATGCAGGCTCCTGTAGTGCTGCAAGATAGCTATGTTGCTGTAGCTTTACCATTGAATGAGCAAGGGTTAACGTTGCGACTGTTTTGCTAGGTTGCATCACAACAGGGGCTTGCAGAGGTAGGGTTACCTCCTAATAGCCGATATCGGTATCATGTGATAGCGATACGATTGTTATATTTGTCTATAAACTTCTGCCTGCACAGCAGGGACATTTCATTTTGATGTCGTAAGTGGGAGCTTGGCAGAATACCAGCACTTCATGTTTTCCAGCTGTATATGCTGTCCGTGCTGACTGCTAACGACGGTTTCTACCATCTTTAAACCCGGATGTCGAAAATACTGTCGGTCCATGATCTTTGAGAGAGAGCGAAGGAAGGAGAGAGAGAAGAAACGATGACCTTAAAACAAACCAAAAAAAAATCTCTCGCATTGAAGGGTGCCTTGAAAAGAACTAGATCACTTAAGGGGACGAGAGCTACTGCTAACAGCGAAAAATAAAACTTGGCAAAGGAAGCCGGGAAAATTAAAATTCTCCAAAGCGGCGATTCAATGGCACTGTCTCTTTGCTGTCATGCAAAGTGGTGTTGCTGATTAACCCAAAGCAGGTGCTAATGGGGCCATTTTACTTGTTGGGAGAACCAAGGGGATTTGGGGGCGACCCGCCAATGTCTTTGCCTTGGGAATGGTCTCCTGATTGAGTTAAAGAAACAGGATGCAGAACCAAATGCCTTCAAAAGGAAAGGAAGGAAGAAAGGGAAATACAGCTCCTTGAACGACAAAGCCAAGAAGTGATAAAACCCTCAAAACAGCCTTTCATTCACAGTGTAATTGGATTTCATGTGTTGGTAGCGAGAAATGATTATTCTCCCATAAATGCTCTCCCATAAATGATGACCGTACAGAATTACCATGGCTAAGGAGTTTAATGGTGAGAATGCTTACTGCATCTCCAGTGTCTTTCCTCAGAGGATCTCAAAGTGCTCTAACAAGCAGTCATTTGGTAGGTTTTTTTCCCCATGCGGTCAATATGGTTATGGCCAGTTTGCAGACAGGGACACTGGAGGACTCGGGATACTCAGCTGGCCAGTGGACCCTGGAGAAATCTGGCATGTTAACTACTTCCAGATGGATGAAAACCTGACCCCGTAGTGTATGACAAGAGCTCCATTGACTTCCACGGAGTCGGGACTTCTTTCTTCAGAAGTTAGAAAGAAAGGCAAAGCTAACCATCATGTTGTCCTCTACTGTGTTGGTTTCTACTGGCCCCCTGACAATGTGAATGGGCACTACTGGTGTGACAGCCCAAGTGGCCTTCTGCTGGTGTCTGAAAACACAGCGGTCTTCACTCCAGTGACCTGCCTGATCTACCCACTCCAGCGGTCACTCCAGTCTGATCTACCCACTCCAGCGGTCACCACTCCAGTGACCTGTCTGATCTACCCACTCCACAGGAGAGGGCCGAGTGCTGTTTACTGTGTTCACTGCATTGTGCAGCATCCCTATGTACTGTTTCTACAGCAATCAGCATATCTTTCTCCAACTTTTACTTCTTTTGCTTCTATTCTTGGCATGTCTCAGGGAAGCCATCCTGTGAGTATGATGCCTGCCAGGCCATTGCTCACAGACAGGGACCGGTGGGCACCTGGGGAGACAAGGAGATCCAGGTTGTGTTGAACAGAGAGGCCAGGTGCACTGGAGCATGGAGATGCAGAAGATTGAATGCACCATAACAGGACCCAGGGCAGTAACATCAGGTCCATCTCACAGCAAGGAACATATGCCCCTTTCTCCTGAGCTGGAAGGAGTCCTTGGGACAACCTCCATGGAGCCAGGGCACTAAATCACCACGTGGTGCATTCAGGAGGAGCAAGGATCAGGTCACATCTGCTGGCAGATGAGGAAGTGGAAAACCTGAGACTCTGGGACCTAGTTGTGATGACCTAGGATCCAGAGATGAAGTCTGAGCCAGCTGGGCAGGCGGATAGAGGCAGCTGAGGGAAGAGTTTTCTTGTGAATGGCACAATTAGCTCTTGTGGTAGGGCACAGAAAGCCGCCCTTGGAAGTGTCCACCTCTCCTGCTGCTCTGCCAGGCCACATTGCTCTGGCCTGCTCAGCATAGCGGGAACCCTGGGCTGCCTTTCCCTGCCTGCCCAAATTGCTCTCCTTTCCACCTCCAGGCTCAGCGTCCCCCTTGTAATGGCCCCATTTTGGCTATAACGGCCACTGCTGCCACCCAGAGTGATGATGTGTTGTGCTGTATTCACAGACTCACAGCAAGCTCACTGGATAGGCCCTGTGGCGGGCCAGTAGGGGGCGCTCCTGCGTTGAGCCACCCACCTTCCTGCGCCTGACCACCGTCCAGGCTCCGAGTGCCTCCCCAGGGCGCCTCACGTCCAGCCAACCCCCTTCCTGGAGCTCACTCACTAGCCTGGGGGTAACGTAAGCTGCCACCACCCCGAAAGGGGACTCTCTCGGCCCTGTGTCCTCGGGGAAACACAGGCCTAATAGTCCTATGGGTACTCGATCCAGTACAGGCGCTTGGGGCACTTCCCCAAGTCGGGGGCCAAAAAGGAAAGTCTCCCTTAGTCCACAGACCTGAGGGGTCTCTTTGGCATAATTTAGACCCACCCCTCAATAACTCTCCTACACCGGTCACAAAGGAGAACTGTATTGTTTACAGGGGTAGGGTGAAAGTAGGGTACAAGATAGAGCGATATCATAGAAATCCCATCGAACAAAACCGTCTGGCTGAGGTAGCCTTTTGATCACGCATCTGAGATACTGCCAGCTAGATATCTACCCAGATCTCGAGTAGCTCACTCACAAGCATCATCCTGAGGCTGTTGGAGATCCCCTCTGCAGGCAGGCCGTTCCTCGCTCATGAGTTATGGGGAGAGAGCCAGTTTCAGATGGTCAAGCTCCTCTCTAAGTCTGAGTCCCCTGCATGGCTGCTGCCCCCTCCTCCTGGGCAGTCTTATATAGCCCCTGTGACCTCGTTCAGCTGGTCCAGTGG